CCCCCATCCTTCTTTCCACTGGGACCCCATCCGGGACCCTCTGAGGGATCCCTACCGAGAACTTGACATTCACCGGAGAGACCCGCTGGGCAGGGACTTCCTGCTAAGGAACGACCCCCTGCACCGTCTCTCAGCTCCCCGGCTGTACGAAGCTGACCGCTCCTTCAGGGACAGGGAGCCTCATGATTACAACCACCACCACCACCACCACCACCACCCTCTGTCTGTGGACCCTCGGCGGGAGCACGAGCGAGGGGGTCACCTGGATGAGCGGGAGCGCTTGCACATGCTCAGAGAGGACTACGAGCACACGCGGCTCCACTCCGTCCACCCGGCCTCCCTGGACGGACATCTGCCCCACCCCGGCCTCATCACCCCGGGACTGCCCAGCATGCACTACCCCAGAATCAGCCCCACCGCGGGGCACCAGAACGGGCTCCTGAACAAGACCCCGCCAACGGCAGCGCTGAGCGCGCCTCCCCCGCTCATTTCTACGCTGGGGGGCCGCCCGGTCTCCCCCAGAAGGACTACTCCTCTGTCAGCAGAGATCAGGGAGAGGCCACCTTCCCACACGCTGAAGGATATTGAAGCTCGATAAGGCGAGAATAGGACGCGGAGGCGGAAGGAGCCCCGTACTGACACAATGCCAGACTCTAGGAAGGGCAAGAGACAGGAGAACACCTGCGTCATTGACACAGACTGGGGGACGAGGCGCCCCTAACTCTTCCCCTTGTAAAAAATGTATAGACTCGGTGCAGATTTTGAAATGTTTTTGTATATTATATGTTGAAATTTTTCAGATCTTTTAGCCAAGTCATACGTTCTCATGTGTCCAACTCCTTTGGTTTCTCATGTAAAACTTTTTGATTTGAACCAAAACAGTGAAGATGACAACACACACCAGTGTGGTGATAATTGGGGAGAAAACAACAGTCCACAGAATCTGTCGTGCGAAGCTCTTTCAGATGAGAAGGGAAGGCAGTGTACATAGTTGTGTAAAAAAAAAAGATTGCTTCATGAGCTAAGGGTTCATATATGCAAAAGGGTAAGATGAAAGCTTTACTTTGTACAAATGTAAATAGATAAAGATTAAGTAACATAATACATTAATACTTCTTAAAATGTGCTCTTTGCAAACTTAATATCAGTGAACACGGTCGGCTGCGGCTGTGTTCCCATGTATTGTTATAGACAGCTAAACCCTTCAACTATGCAATGAATGTTAGGGCTTTTCACAAAAGCCCGCCTAACTCAAAGGAGCCTTTTCAAATCCATTTACAACATACTTAAGGTCATATTTTCCCTGAACAAGCACTTACGTGATATGACTCTGTTTTCCTTGCTTGTTATTTTCAAACGGAGAAACATCCTATTTTGCAAATCGGACCCCAGGCTGAAACTTTGCATCTGAAGTTGCTGCTTGTGGGCTCCGGGGGTGGAGTACAGCCCCTGGAAAGGTAAAGAGGACATGAGCGTGCAGGGCCAGGGAGGATGGGAGTTGTCAGATGCCAAAATCAGGGGACACAGGTCGCCAGCATCACGTCACCATCAGTCACATGATTTCACACACACCTCATGTGGGAGCCATGCGTTTTTTAGCGTGTCCTACTTCATATCTGTACACACCTCCTCGTTTTGTAATGAGATTTAATTACACCCAAACAGATCCTGAAAGAAAGCTTCAAGTTTTCTCAGATGATGGATGTGTTTTCACTGTGTTCAATCAGTAACCGACAAATTTAAGGCGCACATTTCCTAACGTGACTCATCGTATTCCAGTTGGTGATAAAGTCTGGGAAAAGCCGTAACAGGTCAACCTTGTGCAGCCATGGGGAGTTCCAGAGGGTGAAAGGTGGCAGAGACAAAAGTCTTGCGTGTGTGTTTTTTTGAGTTTGCATCAATCTTAATGTCTCTTCATAATACTTTTATAATACATTAAGCCTCTTGTCTACATATTTGGAGAGAATATGACTTTACTAGCAGAGAAATACAATATATCTTGTCTACTGGACTGTAAAATATATGTATGAAATAAAATTAGTTCCATTTGGTCTTCTAGTATATTAAAGTGCTATCTGACGTTGTTATCCTGTTTTTGCAAAAAAAAAAAAAAGTTAACTACAGACCATTGTTTCTAATAAGCAGAGAGATCTATTTTAGTAGTAAACTGAAGGTTTAGTTGTGAGCTTCAGATTTTGTGAACTCCAGATGTTGTGCAGTGTTTTTTTTTCTTTTTTGTTTTTTTTTTTTTAAAGACAACAACTAAAAAGGAAAAAAATCCAAGGAATATGTACACTGGAACTGTAGTGGTAGCTTTCAGTATTGTAAAGAGATTGTTCTATACAGACCTTTTTGCTGTTTATCCTGTATGTAATAAAGTCCTTTCTAGATCCTATGTGAAAAGAAAAGTGAAGCGACTGAGTCTTCAGCATGTTCTCATCGGCGGAGCCTTCTTGTGTAATGTAAACTGTGCCATGTTATTAAAAAATGTGAACTAAGCTTTCAGCGGCTTGTGTGTGTCAGATGACCATCATTACCGTAGGGGAGAAGCCACACTTGCAGGACCTGGCTCTTGAAACACCTTGAGTCCAGCCGAGTGAGAGCAGAAGGCTGACCTGCCACCTTGCCTTGCTCCGCTAATGACCCGCCAGCTAGTTTCTATAAACATTTGTGCCCTGGTCATTTGTGGATTTTTTTTTTTTTTTTTTGGAATTTTCTAAGCAAAATACTGTATCTTGGAAAGGTACTTTTGGCTTTTTTTTGGTCGTGCGTATGGGCCAAGTTAACAAGTGTACTTTGTGTCCCAGGCCTACTTCAAACCTCAGCATTTGCTTTCTCTGCATTGATGGCAGATCTGATTTGGGGCCTTTGACAGCAGTCTTTGCTTGTTCCTTTGCCCTTCACTCTGTGGACTCAGTCGGTTGTATGTTACTTAAGACCTTGCAGATACTTTTTCCTATCTATACTTCCGTATCTTGTAGAATGACATGGCGTATCCCTCATCAGTGTGCTGACTTCTCTCTCTTCCTCTAAAATGTTTCTTTTTCCCAAGATGTGAAAATTGTTCAATTTTATTGTGTCAGCCTGATGAAATTTCTGTTTGGATTGCTGTTTGTATCTTACTGGCAAAAACAAAGGAGAGCAGTCGGGTTAGCAGGATGTGGGGGAATGCTGACCAGCTGTTAGAAATGGAAGTGAACGGAAACCAGGGGCTCTGGGCTCCTGTGTGATGGCAGAGTGCGTGGGCTCCACAGGGGTGTTTGGGAAGTGGGGACCTGGGAGACTTCTGTCGGGGGGTGGCTGGCGGGGGACAGCCTTGCAGGCTTAGAAAACTGGTGATGTCAGAGCAGGGACTGCTTGGACAAGGGCCCACTTCACGCAGCTTTGCTTCTGTATGTTAACACTTCACTCCCAGACTAGAGAAAATAACTTGAAGAAAAACTAGTGGATTGGAAAATGTAGCAAACACTTTTTTCCCCAAATCAGGCAATTTTGGGGACTTTGTAGATACTCAACATCAGGCTTGATTTGCCGTTTCTGGCAGATCTCACTGCCTTCTATTGTATACCTATTTTCATGTCACCATCTGCAGTGTCAGGACATAGAAGAGTCAAATCAGTCACGGAATTGAATCCCTGGGGCTTCATTCATCTCATCTTTTGCATATTTCCCTCTAATTATGTTCAGCTCCCCGGCATTGATGGGTACCAGCACCGATTTGATTTCCTGCTAACCTATAGATGCTCTAATTATCTCCACAATCTTTGACTGACAATGATCTTGTTACCTTCTAATGGTACATGACAAGTAAAATAGCGAACATAATGATGCAATAATTACCATTTTGGAAGGATATTCGCAACAGCATTCGCTGTTTATCCTTTTTCTGCCTCAATCAAGATGGATGAGAGAAAATAAAATGTGACTGCTGATGTTATACACGTATGTGGTGTAAAAAGTACTTTAAGACAGAATTGGGTAGCACGATTGGCCATGCAGTGTAGGCCGTTCCAGACCACCTCTCTTGTGTTTGTATCCATGTTGAAAAAAAATTAGACTTCAGTGGCAATCAAATCAGTTGAAGGGAACAGGACAACAAAAATGAGTTGGTCTTTTCTGTTATTTTTTTAAACTTTACCATCTTTTTTTCCTATGAATTTCTGAGAAGTTTCAATAGAACAGGGTTAGTTATCAGATAGAAAATGATACCATCAAAGGCAATTCCACACTGAAATTGTTGGTCTTTTGGCATTCTCACAGTATAAGGCAAGTTTTTAATAGCTCACATCAGCACTGCGAGAAGCCTCTGGTAAGGAGCTTGGACCAGCAGGCAGGAAGCCTGCAGCCACCCTGTGCTTTCCCAGCGGCCTTGAGCAAATCGCCGAACCAGTCTGGAACTTTTTTAACATGCAAAATGCGACAGTCTGACCCTAACAAAGCCTAAAGATGTGCCAGTTGTAAGCCTGATATCGGCATAGATGGGGTTTGGGTGTGTGCTGTCCCAGAAGCAATGGGAATTGTGGACTGGAAAGAGAACCCCACACAAAAGTGAAAGGGACTGTATTTTTACAAACTCAGTCTCAATTACAGTGTCATGAAAATTCTTGATAAAGATTTGCTGACATTTTTGGCAGAAACAAAGGGAGTGGGTTTCTAACTCACAAGCCTCAGTGTTTCCCACCTGGTGAAG